AAAAAAAAAAAAAAAAAAAAAAAAACTTTGGCAAGTCTTTTACTTGTTTGATTGTGTTGTGATGTTTGATTGATGGTTTACTCGAAATTTTTTTCGACTAGAAGTAGTGGGCCTGATAGAGAACTCAATCAAAAGAACTGGAATTTATTTTCAGGATGGAAAAACTGTACCCAGGCAGAAAAGAGGGAAGCTTGCGCCAAGTGGGTCTCATTCTGACTTTGACTACTATGACTATTTACTTGGTGATGATGAGGACGATGGAATGCATAATAAGATATCGGTAGATGAAGCGGACAAACGTTTATCTCCTCTTACCATAGTATTTGAAAGAGTATGCTCATATCGTTTATTAGTAGTGACGTGGGACTTTATCGTCGATTTCTTAATTCTGCGGTTGATATGTATGTATATGCTGCAGGACAAGACGCAGGAGGAGCTCTTGGATGTGGCCCAGCACCTTGTAAAAGAACATCCCGAACTCATCCCATCAGCAAAAGAACTTCTGGAGGCCATTCAGTCTGATGAAGAAAAGCATGCTAAAAAAGCGATGGAGCTTTTGAAAAACCAACACGTTCTCCAAGGTTTCGTGGAAATTTTTGCTGAGGGTTGCGCTGTTCTCAGGACTGTAGACATACTAGCAGAGCATGTGCTGGAGGGCAGAACCGTTGCTAATAGGGTGGCTCGTATTAGACGAGATCCCCTTTTGCCTCGATGTGTCTCGGCCAAAGAGGACGTGCTTATGATGAGGTTGGTTTCTCTCTATATATTCTATTCACATGACGAGTAGTTTCTACTAATTAATTGGTCATTGTGGATGCTTAGATAGACTCATTATTATGCTTGGATAGACTCATTATGATGCTTCTTTTACGTGTCGATTATTGCTCTGAGGTTGTCAATAGAATAACCAAAGTGCTTGGACTCGATAATTGATATCGCTACAATTTTCACGGTTTAGATGTGTGGATGGAAGCATGTATAGTCCTGATTACCTGTTTTTTTTTTTTTTCTTTGGTTTGTGAAGGGGAGCCTTGTGCATTTTAGTCGGGTTCTGGATTGATCGAAGACTAGAAAATTGGCTTAATGAACGGGCCTTTAAACTCGGTACGTGCATGAAATAATTATTCCCAAAAGATTGTGTCTTTGATTTTGCCTTTTAAAGTTTAATCGAATCAACATTTGATCAATGTTCGGAATTGCAGTCTTTTCTCTAACTTTTCTTGTTATTATTTCTTATTGATGTGCGTGCAGTCTCCCCAAATTCGCAGCATCCGCCCCCGTATTAGAGCTACAAACAACATGTCTCAGATGGAGTTGGCTTGGCTCTGGGTGTTTTCATTTATGCTTTGTGTTGTGTAGTTGGGCATACCAACTCTTTGACATGTTGTGCATTACCAG